CCCCCCCCCCACACACACACACACACACACACACACACAGCATGAGGTTCGGGGCCTGCTGAAGGGCGAGCGGTGCCATTTGGTAGGGTTTAGAACTATGATCCAACTATTCAAACTTCTAATTTCAAGAGGAGAATATTAGTGTTACATCTTTCAGAAATCGAAAGGACCCCCCACCCCCCGAATCCGCAATTGATAAGCTAGGAACCGGACGTCCATTCCCAGGAGTACCATATTCCTGTCACATCGGCGTGGTCTTTCTGGCATTTAAGAACGCATTGTTTACTCTATGCTTACTTGCTCTACGTTTTTGTGATTTTTTCTCTCTTAATAGAGATAATTCAGTATTCAACAAAATGTCAGTCAGCTAGCAATTGTTTTCATTCAAACTTTTTTCAGTCTGCTAAATGATATCTATTATTGCAAAGTGCAGTTTGACTTGATCTTTTATAATTTTATACTTATAATTTTATATTTAGACCAAGGCCTACAAAGTATTATCAACCGGGATCCTTCGGAAAAGGCTATTTCATTATGCGCAGTGAGAATTGGTAACATACCAGAAGGAAAGATGTACAATGTTGGAACTAAAGCTTTTTAACTGTATGTAAGCATTTTATATAGGTTACACTGTTTTTTCTTCACGAGGATAAATTAAAATTTCTTATCAAATCTTCCCTCCAAATGAGACATTCTGTTGGTCATGAATGGGCCTATCAACGATCTCTCCCATGAGCTTTCTTTTTTGAACCAAGACAAAGTAGTTAATTATAGACGTGATTTTTGCCTCATGTACTGTGATCAATGACGCTGTTGGTAAAAAACAAAGTGTAATTCGGCACATCTCGTAAACAGACAAACAGGCATCAAACGCTTTACGCCAGGAAACATTCATCGCGCACTTGAAGATAGCATCGACCATCTCCCTCCGTGGCGCCACTCGGCCTTTTACCGCACGGTGAACCATCTGTAGGTGGTCTTGCATATTAAAAGTCCTCTTTTTTTTTCCTTGGCTTTGTGTTGTATATTTAAATCAAATATCACAAAGCACTGTCATTATTCAATATTATTAAAATACACACATACAAACATACATTACTCAATATAAATAAAATAAACTATTAAAGATACGTTTTTACGCAGCATTAAAAAGTTCAATTAAAATAAAGGTGACTTCATGACTTCATTTCCCACACGGTTTAATCCCCCTTGATCATTTTGAATGACTCACGTACGCGACCGCACACCCAGTGGACAATGCATTTTTCCTGGTGTTATTATCGATGAGCAGCACGAAATGCAAGTTGGACAAAAGGTTTTGCATACATTATCTATATATTTTCGCCGAAGATAATATTTTATCGTGGCCAGTCATTATATATATATATATATATATATATATATATATATATATATATATATATATTCAAATAGAATGAGCAAAAAGCCATTGATAATCACGATAAAACATTATCTTCGGGGAAAATTGTGAGCTACGATATATACTACAAAATACTACTTACTACGGAGGAGAAAATGCAAATGATTGTCATTTCATTTATTAATCATGCTCTCAATTGGATAATTATTTTGACCTTAAAAATGAAATAATTGTAATATATTCATTTAAATTGTATAGTGATTTGAGCAATCAAACTTATACAGAGAAAGAATCGATTATTTTATCCTGGACTCAGGAGTACGTGTGGGTCTATTCATTTTATTTGCGCAATTTCGATTATGATTTAGAAAAGTTTAACTTGTCTGTCCCCCATTTAGCTTTAGTTTACTAACAAAAGATGAAAGGCATCTATTAAACTCGTACTGTCAACTGCACGATTTGATTATCAACGGATTCAAGACGGCAGGTACCTATTATTGCTACCGTAAATCTTCTTAGTAAACACAGAGCCTTCGAGATCAATTTAATATATACATTTTAGACTTAAATCTGATTCTTGCTTTAAATTCGACAGATGCAAAGTTAGAGTATTTTATACATTTAGATTCTTTTTTTATACGAAATATCAGCCGTAAAATTGTGCAAGAAGTACGTCCCAAGTCACCTATTGTCACCAGTAATCAGTCTGAGGCTCTAAGTCCCCGCCTCCTGTCGCACGTGTGAAGGTATAAAAGGTGTTGCTGGTTGACGATTGCTCATACCCAGCCAACTCAGCCAGGTAGATGTATAGTGATAACCAGACGGAATCACTTCGATAGCCTTGTGAGAGTATACCAGAATGTTTTACAGGGGCCTTTACATGTAATCTGAATACTAGCCTATGTTAATTAAATCTAACTGGTAGAGAAAGAAGAGGAATCCGGAAAGACTGTTTAGTATCTGGCTCACTTTTCTGTGTCCTAAAATAAGATAACTGAAACAGAAAGTCGTCATCACAGACGTAATTATTACCACATTAACCATGGAAGAAAACCCAATGTCTTTGAACCAGCAAAACAATACTGTCAATGAGATATCGACGGATTCGGGTCCTGGCAGTCCAGCTAGTAGCACCAGCAGCCTCACAGAGAGCTACAACAGTACATCTCCTGTCTCTGCAAATCAAGCTCTCCGAAGAGTTCGTAAAATTTCCAAGAGTCTGGCAGACAAGTGCGCTACGGAGGAGGAACTGCAGATGTTGCGCCTTAAAATAAACGGTAGAGAACGCAAACGAATGCACGATTTAAACTCTGCTTTAGACGGCTTAAGGGAGGTGATGCCATACGCTCACGGGCCTTCTGTAAGAAAACTGTCAAAAATAGCAACTTTACTGTTGGCCAGGAACTACATTCTCATGCTGAATAATTCATTGGAGGAAATGAAGAAATTGATCAGTGATGTGTACTCCTCCCAACCAAATAGGATGCCCATAGCGCATCCCGCAGTACCGCATCCTCCTCATGCTCACCTACCCCTGACCATAACCCCAGGCGCGGCATTGGCGCCCCACTCAGAACATTTCAAGACAGCCCCTGCCACCAGTATACCGTCATCTGTGTCATTACCACCGCCACCTCCTCCGTCATTGCCAGATAGGCATCACACATCTCCGTACGGACCGTGGCACGGTATTCCTTCCGTCCCCTGTACGTGTGCACAGTGCGCCTTTGACACGGTCAGGGTTTCATATGCAACCATGCTGAATGGGAAACATCCTCTTTCAAAACCGTGAAAATTCAGAGGTTTTTTGACATTTTGATGGATATTTAAAACTGATTATTTTCATAGTATGTCCAACAATTGGACTTCAATGTCTGATTTTGTCTGATCAGAAATGTTGATGCACATCCAGGTAAACAATAGCTTTATATTCATTGCAAGGTTGAATGAAGGATGCTAAAATCGGTAAGAACGTAGCAACTGAATGATAGAGGGAAACAATTCCTCTCAAAAGATAAGTCTTTAAAACAAACTATGCACGCTTGTTTACTATTTTATATATGCATACATAAATTTATATTTAATTACACTTTTGCAGAGCATTTTTCTCTTAATAGATTTCTAGAATATTAAAAACTCAAAATGAAGATATATACGACAATTCTCAGATATTAAATTAGATGTGATGTTTTGCACATGTGATTTAAAGCTGTAGTATACCTTATTGGAATTGTGTTGGTATGTGCAAAACCTCAAATAAATGCAAGATATAATTGTGTAATTTTCTTTTGCAAATAAATATTAATATTAAAAAAACGGACGTGAAATGAAATTTTGTTAAATTCCTTTTATTTTGTTTTGCGTTACGATATTATGATAGCCTCAACACAACAGTTTTATTTTTAAAAGGCGAATTGGTCTTCTATGATCACGATGATAGTGAAGGGGTTTAAAGAAAGAAAACGGCTGCAAGGAAATCTTACCGTTACGGGACGAAACGTCTGAATAGCATAGGAAAGTGTAATATCATTTGTTCCTCCAGTTGGACTTTAGGAATTGAGGCTAGAAAGACGTAGAGTGTAGTTTTTTTCCGTGTAGAATTTTAAAATATAAAATTTGACGGATTGAATTTTATAGGACTTGACAACTCAGTGTTCTCTAATACCAGGTTATTGAAGATCTTGACTGGGTAATTGTGCAATTGTAACTCTTTTGCCCAAGGTGCTGTCCTCCTTGTTTTTACAATGAGGGCACACGACTTGCCGCCAAGCAGATTGACCGTCAATCGGCTAAATATGAGGCAAGATGGACCAATGATTTGTATGACACATACCTTGGCAGAGCCAGAGTCAACCTTTATGAGAAAACAACAAGATTTGAAATTAATCGTATATCTAAACTTAAGAAAATAAGCTACGGTATGAACACTTCCAATATTTTTATTTGTCAAGATATTGACTTGGCAGTGCCCGTTGAAGATTTTATTGGCATAAAAAAAATTATATAAAAACTCAAGTGCAAATTTCCAATGGATTACATAACGGTGACAACGTTTTGGCACTAGTTTCGTCATTCTGGAAATTTCCATCATTTTGACTAATAGCGCATTTTATCATATAATCATTCGGATGATACTATATATATATATATATATATATATATATATATATATAAACCTCTTTTACTATAGGCTCATATTTTCTAATGCAAATCAGGAGATCAGTGCTAACACCGCTCACAGACATTCAGATGTCTTCATTTTCCCATGAAAGATTAAGCATACGCAGCGCGTCTTTCTTTCCTCAGTGAATGCTTAAGGGAGGCGCTCACCTGTAAAATAAAAACAGTTCTCTTTTTATTAATCTGACATGACAAGAGCGCGCACGCCATCTGCAGCCTCAATGGACTGTTTTGTTCAACCTATAGATGGAATTACCCAAAATTGTCGTCTGCGCTCAATTTTCCGTTCGCTTAAGTTCATTTGTTGCAATTTCAAGTTCAATTAAACAATAAAGATTTGGTTTCAGTTTCAAAACAGCATACAAAACGATGTTTAATGCATTTGTGTCAACTTCCTTCTGTATAAAGACACATCGCCATTCCGTATCAACATAAGGGTAGGAAGACTGTAAAATAAATCATGGAAAGCCAAGATTTTCGTTTTACCTCCTCCTGTATGTTGACTTTGGTACGTAGTTTAATCCCCAAAAATGTATGACTGGAAATGCTAAACGCTCATATCGAAGGCAGTTCAAATAAGTAAATGACTGTCAATTCATTAGAAAATGCACGTGCTATTTTTCCACCTGTTTCTTATTTTGCTCAACGTGGCTTGAAAAGGCTTTCTGCCTCTAAGCTTTAGCTCCACCCTAATGACAGGGTGCATTCAGTTCTCTCTGAAAACTGAAATGTTTGCTTATAAAAAGAATTACGTATGATTTTTAAGAAGGCTTTATAGAATCTTAATCAATTCAGCTATCTAATATATATGATTTTGTTACACCTTATATCAAGATTTGCACAATGAAAAGAAAATTGTCAGTGGCTGTGCTGTATTACCACAATCAATTTTTAATCAAAATGTTGTAAGAAGGTGAAAAGGGGTTTCGGAAAATCAGAACTTCCATAGCCACAAACGTATAAATTAACGTACTTAGCACAGCTGTCCCGGTTTGTGTTTCTCAATAGAGAATGTCCCGATACAATCACCTCCTTTGGTCCCTTGGACCCCAAGGTTGTAATATTAAGGTGTAGGTACTTACTAAAGCAGTGTGTTTTATTAACAAAAGATGCATATGAGAAGTTAGGACAAGATAATTACTTTTGTCCGTAGTGAACCTGGCACTGTTTTCCCGCGCCCCTTTCCGTTTTTTAATTATCATTCTTAAATCAAGACATATGCCTTCTCGCAGACTTTGGTCCTCTCATCTGAGTAAGACTGATCGTCCTTCCCCCCGAGGAAGTCATAAAATTTGCAACCATGCGTTCAGGGGATTGGTGTCTATTGTACAGTTAATAAAGCCCAAAGAAACCAAAAGAAGTTAATTAGGACTAAATTGACATTTTGTTTAATTTTGGCGCAATAAAAAAATTAATTGATTGCGAAACTGGTGCTTAACGTGTGCACGACCTGGCGGTAAAGGTCAGTAGCAGCACCAATTGCAGCGCATCTTCCAGTGTCCTGCTACACGGAAGCGTCTCCTCCTTGAATCCTAGAAGATAACAGATTTATGCTCGCCATTTCTTTTTGTTACAGTAAGACATTTTCCTTAACCACCGTGATTGAGTTGAAAAAGTTTATTTCTGTTGCTGGCACCAGTTTCAACGACCCACATCATTGTCCATCAGAGGAATTTTCCCACCAAAGGACTGGCTTTGTCAAGTTCTCTTTGCACTTTATTTCTGTTCATTGTTGTATTGTAAATGTGCAAGTTCTTTAAATTTTGCCAAATGCTTGAAAAATAGATCGATACTTTAACAGAAAATATTAAGTCTGTTTACGGCCGGACTTCATCTAAGAATGGGGCTGTGATAGATGTGACAAGCTGCCCCCCCCCCCCTTCCCCGCCATTCGCGCACAGTTTTTTTTTATTACCTCCGACAAGGAGATTATTTTTCTTCACCGTTTGTTTGTTTATTTGTTTGTTTGTCTCTGCACTGCATAATGCAAAAAGCCATGGACGGATTTTTATGAAGCTTTCAGGAGAAATTATTAGATTACCTACGTACTTAATTAACTAATGATGTACAGATTTTGATGAAATTTTCAGGATAAAATGTAGATCACAAATGGTCTAAAGAAAAAAGGTATTGGAAATTTGTTGATGGTTCATCAATTATTGAATTAATTAATTATAATCGACGATTTAATTCATTTAATTTTCAGAATAGGTCAGAAATGGCCCAAAGAAAAAATGATTAGATTTTGGTGATGATTAATTAATTAATTAATTGGTTAATTAATTATTACTTAATTGTTTGTCTTGGCGGAGGTTGTGCTCTCTGAGTCCTTTTCTAGTTGTTTATGTTTTCAAGCTCTCCTCGGCTATAAACTCATCAATATAATTTGCATAATTATACTTGAGAAAATATGTTCGCGGTTTGTATTCCTTACGGTATAGAGTTTACGACCCAAGTACCATCTCTTTATGGTATTGCGTCAGGGGATTGTGTTGCGAGGTCCAGCTAACAGACCACAGCCTCGTGGGTTTACCCCGGGCCTACGTTGCCAAGGGAGCAGTAAACGTCAGCTGAGTGATAAATGAAGATTGTACATGACAGCTTAAGCGATGTCATGCAATGCCAACCTGCTTAATAAAAATTATCACTTCGTTACCGCCTAAACACAAATATGAGAAAATCAAACAAATGAATTCACCTTAATTTGTATAAAATTGTTCAACAAATCTGTGGATGCAGACAGTCTACAAGGTGAGTCTAAAAATTAATGCTTCTGGTGTCACAAAAAAATAAATCAATTCTCGTCTATTAAAAAGATTATCTTTGTGACCCCCTCTCCCTTGGCAAAATTCTGGATCCGCCATTGCGCATTCTACATTGAGAATGTTTAAATAAAGTATTGCTACCATTTAAATATCATAGATGCCAGCCTACTTAATTGGTGATGTCAGCGGTCATGTCATGCAGGAACCAATAAAACGCCCTGGTCATTTGAACCAACGCGAAGTTTTTAATGTCAACTCATAATGATTGATATATGTGTGTAAGTGTGTAGTGGGATATGTTCATGTTGAATTAAAAAGATAAAATTGTGTTAGTATGTGTATGTGCGGGTCAGAAATGTACATGTTATAGTTATAGAGGTAACAAAATATAAATGTGAGTGCGTGTTTCTTTTTTTAGAAAAAAAGGCTGAAGCAACAACAAATTACCTGGATCTAATGACTTTCGTCTTCAACTTGAATACAACCGGCGCAAGGAAAAGAATGATCGAATAAGGCCTACTTATGAACACGAAAATCTAAGAAAGGAACAGCATCAAACCAATCTGCTCGGGTGCGTTACTTGAATTTACGCAAATACCTATACTTCCACTTGAAACATATAATATTCGGTTAGAATATAATATTACCAAGGAACTTCAACTGTTGAAACTCCTTGATATTACTAAAAGATTATTTATGACAGAAAACATTAGTGAACCACACATGGGACTTTTGCAAGTCAATAGGCCTACAAAATTTAAGATTAGAATTTAAAGTGGCACAGTTATAGTGTTAAACTTTGTTCGAAAACAATTAAGGGATCCGTATTGATTTCTATTTATTTATTTATTTATAGCAGGTTTAAAGCTTTTTTGACATTTAGCAGGACTCTTCAAACTGACCGAGTCATTGAATATTTTAAAGTGCTTTTGTTAAAAACACGCACACTACTTTATTTTGACGAGTTTGCCAGTTTGCATAACATCCAAGGTGTGTTACCTANTGTAGATCACAAATGGTCTAAAGAAAAAGGTATTGGAAATTTGTTGATGGTTCATCAATTATTGAATTAATTAATTATAATCGACGATTTAATTCATTTAATTTTCAGAATAGGTCAGAAATGGCCCAAAGAAAAAATGATTAGATTTTGGTGATGATTAATTAATTAATTAATTGGTTAATTAATTATTACTTAATTGTTTGTCTTGGCGGAGGTTGTGCTCTCTGAGTCCTTTTCTAGTTGTTTATGTTTTCAAGCTCTCCTCGGCTATAAACTCATCAATATAATTTGCATAATTATACTTGAGAAAATATGTTCGCGGTTTGTATTCCTTACGGTATAGAGTTTACGACCCAAGTACCATCTCTTTATGGTATTGCGTCAGGGGATTGTGTTGCGAGGTCCAGCTAACAGACCACAGCCTCGTGGGTTTACCCCGGGCCTACGTTGCCAAGGGAGCAGTAAACGTCAGCTGAGTGATAAATGAAGATTGTACATGACAGCTTAAGCGATGTCATGCAATGCCAACCTGCTTAATAAAAATTATAACTTCGTTACCGCCTAAACACAAATATGAGAAAATCAAACAAACGAATTCACCTTAATTTGTATAAAATTGTTCAACAAATCTGTGGATGCAGACAGTCTACAAGGTGAGTCTAAAAATTAATGCTACTGGTGTCACAAAAAAAAAATCAATTCTCGTCTATTAAAAAGATTATCTTTGTGACCCCCTCTCCCTTGGCAAAATTCTGGATCCGCCATTGCACATTCTACACTGAGAATGTTTAAATAAAGTATTGCTATCATTTAAATATCATAGATGCCAGCCTACTTAATTGGTGATGTCAGCGGTCATGTCATGCAGGAACCAATAAAACGCCCTGGTCATTTGAGCCAACGCTAAGTTTTTAATGTCAACTCATAATGATTGATATATGTGTGTAAGTGTGTAGTAGGATATGTTCATGTTGAATGAAAAAGATAAAATCGTGTTAGTATGTGTATGTGCGGGTGAGAAATGTTTATGTTATACTTATAAAGGTAACAAAATATAAATGTGAGTGCGTGTTTCTCTATTTAGAAAAAAAGGCTGAAGCAACAACAAATTACCTGGATCTAATGACTTTCGTCTTCAACTTGAATACAACCGGCGCAAGGAAAAGAATGATCGAATTAGGCCTACTTATGAACACGAAAATCTAAGAAAGGAACAGCATCAAACCAATCTGCTCGGGTGCGTTACTTGAATTTACGCAAGTATACTCCCATTTGAAACATATAATATTCGGTTAGAATATAATATTACCAAGGAGTTTCAACTGTTGAAACTCCTTGATTTTACTAAAAGATTATTTATGATAGAAAACATTAGTGCACCACACATGGGACTTTTGCAAGTCAATATAAAATTTAAGATTAGAATTTTAAGTGGCACGGTAATAGTGTTAAACTTTGTTCGAAAACAATTAAGGGATCCGTATTGATATATATATATATATATATATATATATATATATATATATATTTATTTATTTATTTATTTATTTATTGCAGGTTTAAAGCTATTTTGACATTTAGCAGGACTCTTCAAACTGACTGAGTCATTGAATACTTTTAAGTGCTTTTGTTAAAAACACGCACAGTACTTTATTTTGACGAGGAATCTTTTTGATAAATTGCACTATTGTTCCACCATTTTGGGTTGGTCAAAGAATCCCCATACCAACTTTAAAGAAACAAGATCAAGTTGAGACCACGACCATTCACTAAATGTCTTTCATCGTACTATTATAAGGGATCCTACAGTTCATCCAGCAAGTACCTGTCTTGTTCACATAATCTCTTTCTTTGCAGATCATCCAAAAACACATATGGCTTTCACCCTTACTTTTTTGTTCTCTCCCGAATTAAAAACAATAAAAAAACCACAGCGGATGCACTATTATTCGTATTGCTTGCATGGTGTGTGTGTGTGTGTGTGTGCGTGTGTGTTTGTGTATGTGTGTGGGGGTGGTCAGGGTGATTTCCATTTTGTCAGATAATGCGAATGGGAAAACCAATATTTTTTCTCTCCAGATTTCTCTCTTTTTTTTTTTTTTTTTT